ATTTAATATTATTAATAAACTTTTTAATTTATTTTATAAAATGTGATGTATCAGAAGTGATGATACGGCCTATATAATACATTAAAGAAAGATTTGAAATAAGAATGAGCGAAATTACAATATAATATACTGTATATATTGCAAGACAAAGCTACTTATGTACACAACTAATATGTATTTTTCTACTTTATACGCATTGTTCGCATGCTAATTTTCTTTGCTATATACGTATATCTATATATATTTTGTTATGCAACTATACTAGTAATTGTTACTTTACATATTTATTGTATAAATCATTTTGAAATAGTATATAATGAAATATTTAAAAACTATTTCCCGCAATTATAACCAAAATTAGAATTTTTGATACTTTTCAGCATACTCACAAAGAGTTTGTCGATCACTAATAGTTTCTACTCCACATAGTGCAAATTCCTCATCTGTTAGTCTTTTTAATCATTTTACTAAAATTCGTTGTGCATTAAATTTTTCTAAAAAACTTTTATAATGATCGCCAGTTTCTTCTCTTTCGTCTACTTCTTTTAGAAATTCTGCTATAGTAGGTAAAGTAGAATAGATATATGGGTTAGATTGAATAACATAAGACTGTGGTGAAATATGAGGCAATGTTTGATATGGATTATATAAAGTTGGTTGATGCGATTGAAATAGTTGAGCTCCAAAAGACCAATTGTATTATGGCGTTGGTAATGATGGCAAAAATAATTGTTGTAATGGATATGGTGTTAAAATCAATTGGGGATGTCCTTGTGGTAATAGTTGTAATAGTTGCATTTGTAGCAAGTGCTATACTTGCGATAGTAGTAGTGATTGTTGTGGTTGCATAAGTTGTGCTTGTAGCGATTGTTGTGATTGTAGTACTTGTGGCGGCAGTAGTTGCATAAGTTGTGCTTGTAGTAATTGAGGTGGCGATTGTTGTAATTGTATAAGTTGTACTTGTGGTGATTGTTGTAATGGTTGTACATCCGGTGACAGTGGTAGTGCTTGTAGTAATAGCAAAGATGGTAAAACTAATGGCATTTGTAGTGTAGATAGTGGTGGTTGTAATTTTGAGCATAGCTTTTTAGATGATAAGCTAGTATAGGAAAAAAGAGGATGTGTCAGAGGATTTTCAACTGTAGCTAGCCCTTTATTCTAAAAGTATGCCAGTATATAAATAAAGTTTAATCAATATAATTTATTATATATTACTGTAAATATCGATATACTAATACGTACCATCTCGGATGCCCAGATAAAAAGCATCATATAGGGTTCCTAATGAACCTAGGTTCAAAGTTCATAAACATGTTCAAAGTTTTGAATAAAGAAAAAAGCATATAATCACAAAGATAAAAATA